TTTTCACAATTACAATTTACAATGTTTTTGACATATTATAAAATATAAAGAAAACACAATATGAATGTAATATAAAAATATTGTAAAAAGCACGTATTGAAATGATACATAACCACATAATATGAAGCTTTACATACGTTATAACAAATTTTATAATATGTACATTACAAAGTACGCACAACTGATTGCTGAATTTCATTTTTACACAAGAGAGAGGCCATTAATCACTTCAATTATGTTATCCACTACGTTGTTGTATATTTGCTTAATTCTTACTAATTAGCTACATTATACCCTCTTAATATGCTTATGTTAACTTTCCAAAATATAGTGATATCTATTTTTTAGTTTTCTCTTTCCGTAAAAAAATATATATATTTTAAAAAAACCATTCTACATTCTGTTTCAGTTGAATAAATTATTGTAATTAAATTTGTATTAAAGGACACATTAATAGAAATATTTTGGAATATCATGACAGTGACAATGTTTTGCGATCGGATAATGTCGTGGTTAAAAGAGTTAACTCAAGACTCCGTTCGCTTTTAACGTGAGCGGAAAGGAGTGAAAGTTACTCTTTAACGCATTGTTACAAAAGCATAATTGCACAGTTAGCCAATCGAGCGATCATTGTTTTGAAGCGAAATGATAGATCCCATCGAACTATCATTAAAGCCCTTATGCAATCGCGCGCGCGCGAACTCGCACTGTTCCTTGCTTCTTTGCATATTTTGCAATTGGACACAGATATCAATATGTACGAAGTAGTTGGTAATCACGTTGGCGATTTATATTGTGAAGGCTGCGTTATCTAATACGTTGATTTGCTTTTACATGATATATTATCATATAGAAAAATACATATAAAGGCACATATTATTACATTAATAATATTTCTTAACTCGATTTTTTGCTTTTTTATTTTTAATATTAATTACATAATAAAAAATGTTTTTTTTTGTAAAAGAAAATAGTTTAAACTTAGAATTTACAACAATAGCATGATGAGTTCAATTAATATTCGTATCCACTATGATTTTAGTATTTATTTTTCTAGCATTTTTCTGGTTAATATTTATTATGTTAAGAAATTTCTCTTTTCTTCTTTGTAAAAAAATGTAATTTAACTTTTTGAAATTACGTAATATTTTCACGATTAATATATTTTCACATTTCCTCGTCCACTTAACGATGGAGGATCGACGAAGATGGCTTACTATGTATTGTTGAAACTTTCTAAAAATATACCTCGTGATTCAGTATTTTTTAAAGCTCTCCTTAGTAAAGTACTTTCGAAGAGTTGAAGCTAAGACGATTGGTCGTTGGTAAGAGATTGTAACGTACTGTGTCAAGACTGTCAAGATTGAGAGAGAGAGAGAGGGGGGGGGGGAGGAAGAATTGAGGGAGAGAGAGGCCAAACATCCGCGAAAGATGCGTAAAATCCATCGCGTGCGTCTCATGTGCGATCGTTTGTCGAACGAGAGTGGTACTCGTCTTTATTTTCAGCAGCTACGTGAGCTATTTTTAAGCGACTTTGATCATCTTCAAACGCCTCTCTTTCTGTTGAACGCTATTCGATATACCGACGCAATGAAGCAAACTACAAACATTAAACTGCACCGAGTAAAATTTGACGTTTTACAACGCTCAGAGTGAGTTACACTGTGAGAATAAATTATGATGTTGATAAATACATTGTTTCTTTTGATTTTTTTGTATACAACTATCCGGCTTAGAAAATATATATAGTTTCCGTTAAAAATAATGGATAAAATCTATTATGTAAACATATTCATCGTGAATATAACTTAAAAAAAATTAGCTACAGAATTGCAAGTAAGAATTTCTATATGTGTGTATACTATTATATTTTATAATTGCTTGTTTAGTTGCTTAGAAAATAAAACAGATTCTCTGAGAATATTTTCCTATTTTTTCCTTACCTATTTGTGTTTTTCCAGAAAAATTAAGAAACAAAACAAAAACTTTATAGAAGTTGCTTTTTATGCAACATTTATAATAAGGAAAATCTTTTAAAAATCTGTTTTATTATAAATGCAACACGCAAGCACATAACACGTAAATACATACACGCAAGCAAGTTTCTGTTGAAACAATTTTATTAACTATCGATAGTTAACGATACAGAAAGCATGATGATGCTAAAGTTTCGCATTATCGATTCGTTTCTACTCTAATTCCCATCCATCGTGCAAGATAAAGTATATAATTTTTTTGCGAAAGACAAAAGCAAAAAAGAAAAAAAAGGCTTTGCTAGCATAGAAGGAGGCATCTCACTATTGTTTACTCTCACGGTAGGATAAAAATCGTAATTACGATCTGGCAATCATAAGCGTAACCGCAAGGTGTAAACGTGAATCTCGTAACCTATTGCGCGCGATTACAATGCAGGCTCGGTGGTACTCAGCTCATATGCTGATAACAGTGTTTACAGAATCTGACCCGGTGTTATCTTCGCTAGCTTCCGCAATGTCCACGATTCTTTGCAGGATGCCTCGTGAGGCTGAAATTTATTGAACGGTTCCCTCAACACCGCGCGCCGACGACCCCGCTTACATCGTAAGTATGTGTGCATCATACAATGAAAACAATATATTTGAACGTCGCGATTATCTATTGTTTAATTTGATTGACGTTCAAATAAGATGTATAGTCTAGCGTAATTTTTTAGGTTTATTATAAATGCTGAACATTACTAACAATAAGAATATTCGATTGGCATCGCACTTATATTTTCGAAATATCTCTTTTTAATTCTCGAAATAAGCGATTTTCTGTAAATTGCAAATGAATGTCGTTTGTTAATTAAAATACAAATTATTGAAAGTACGTATTCAAAAAATGTTGATAGATTAATTTTTTACATATGTATTTCGATGGTTATTCACACATTATTTTTTATCTATGATAAATTATTGTAATTTACATTTGATAGCAGACGCAAGTGAAAAGAATATATGTTGTCTTTGACAAATATCATCGGTAACGATATCATGGTAACGGTATTTCGTCGTGAGTCTTCGAGAATGTATCGAGAGAGTGCAGTAATTCTAGCATGGCGAAAAATAGCGCATTTAATTATAGGTCATACGCAGGATTCCTCGGTGCAGCTGTTTAAGTAGCACGCAGTCAGAAGTCGATATTATATACATTCACATACAGCTCATATTTATGATCCATTATACATTTAATTATTAGACATTTTTTATATTTGATGTATTTAATAAAACCATTAAGATATATTTAAATAGGAATATGATTTAAATAACGATCATTTATTAAATAAAAAATTAATCTTGAATTTACAGCATATTATTAGACTCTGTCGATTATTGTAAAAATTTATTATAAAAAATACTATTATCCTATTACAACAGTCATTGTATGTACTCTGTGCGTTACTTGTTAAATTATTGCAATTTAATTATAAAAGTAATAAATTTAAAATAACATGATATAATAAATTATATAATAACAACAATAAGTAATATTTAAAAAAATAAATTAAATGTAATATATGTACATATGTATTTGTATAAAATAAAACAATAGTAAAATTATAAAGATTTTAAAATTTATTCATTTATCTAAATAAAGATTCTTTACAATTCCTATTTACGATTATTGAGAGATAGAGAAAGAGAGAGAGAGAATTGTTTTTATTTTATAAAAATTAAAAATCTTATTATACCCACTGCAATAAGTCTTTATTCGCATTATTTATTTATGATTATACTCAATTAATGTTCTCGCATGAATCTTGCGCAGAGAGTCGCGTCCACGTAAAGGATTACGAGAGATTCCTGAAGCAGCGATCCGAAAGCGGTAGGTAGTCGATCGTTTCGCCACGAAATGCCGTTATTCTCGGGTAGAGAATCGCATCGGGCGTCCGGTATGTGTATGCGATCCTCTATATAGCCGCTCCAACGCGTTCATGGTAGCGTCGATTCCACCGATAACACAAGGTCTCGTTGCCATTCTCAGCTTCGAATTTCCTAAGTAGGCAAGTATGTGTATGACTAACATGTATTACCAAATAAATGCAGTCACCGTTCGCTCTGTCCTCGTTCTTCCTACGCTCTTTCACGTACCTATTTACTTCTCACTTACATCTTTTTTACTTTTCTTTCAATATTCTCTTTTTCCTTCTCTTCCTTGTCCTTCTCCTTTTTCTTCTCTCTCTCTCTCTCTCTCTCTCTCTCTCTCTCTCTCTCTTCGCGGTATCTCGCAATTAGCTTAGACTCTTAGAGATACTCAAAGGAAAACTACTCATCCAGATACATTGTTTTCATTGTTTGAAGATTTATGATACTATCGACAAATTTAAAAATAAAAAAAGGTAAATAAAAAGGTAAAAAGAAAAGATTTGTAGAAAAAAACGTTATAGTTTTTACAAAGTCTATTCCGCCATGACGCGCCTGTCGTTTTGCTCTTGTTAGATCGAGATTAGAAACTCGGTAACGCATGCGTATTTAGATACTCGAGTCACACATTATCATATATATAACTTTGTTGCATATATTTCGTAAATTATGTTTTGTTCTTAGAATAAAACTTGATTATTGTAACCGAAGTGCGAAATCTACGCAAAAGCTATTTAAGTAGATTAATAATCGATTTTTTAATCCTTCGTTATCTTCCAATCTTCTAAAATTTAACAATAAATTAAATTTTAAATTAATTTTGATCCCATTTTCCCGATATGTGCTTATTTAAATGTGAATTTTATTCATCGATTATAAAATAATTGTTTCTTTTCCTTGAGCATTCTAAAACTATTATTATACAGAAATTATTTGAAATTTGAAACAAAACTCATCATCATTTATCTTTATCCGTCAAATTTTAATGTTTCATTATATACAATATTTTGTTCGAATAAAAAATAAAAATAAGTGAATACTTCTAGGAACATTAATGAGCATATAAGTAATATTCAATTGCACTAAATGATTTGATGGAATACAACGCGGTAGAGAGTATATTAGTTAAAATATTTAAGGAACAATATGATTTATTCGTCGCGCGAACTTGTCATACAGAGAAGCCAGCGATGACGTGCGAACGATAGGAGCATTCAACTCACGATAAGATAACGTTCGTGATTAATCATCGTCGACTAATCTGTGACCTTCTTCGAAGACACAGCTTTGATGCACAGTATGGCGTGCTGTATACATTTCCTTCGAGAACTATTATTGGCGACGTAACAATACATGCATAATATTTGTAAGTAATATATTTTATTCGGAGATTATTAACTCCGAAATTAAAAAGTTGCAAAAATAAAATTTTATAATATTGATCATAAAGACAAAGTACGAAGAAATAATAAAAAATGATATATGCGCGTGTATGTATGTGTGCGTGTGCGTGCACACGCGAATTATAATTACTAAAAAATATATTCTATCAAAAATTGACGTGTTACTATCGTATTAGGTGAAAATCGATCTTGTCGGTATCGCGAACAGAAGCTCTTCGAATGACATCTGTTTAATTAGTTCTTTTCCAGTCTACTTGAGATGCAACGAGACGATTAAAGCGCGAAAAATAAATGGGGGTTACTCTTGTGAAAGATGCAGAAGACGTCGAAGGAGGGCAGAGTGCATACGTAACGCAATACGTGACAACGTATTTCGTGGGGTTATTAGTCCGATTAGACGAGGATAGATGGTGACGTATGTATACGCGCGAGTGTAACGCTTATTGTGTGCATGTGTGTATGTATATGATTCTTAATCCTCAGGGAAAACGCGTAGAGAGACACAATGTCGTCGGCCCTTTCGATGGCTCCACGCATGCGTATCATGGACGCACACACACACACACACACACAAAAGTCCACACGATATACAGACACACACAACGCATACGCATGCGTTATATGTGTGTCGTGTGTGTGTGTTTCAAGGGAGAATCGACCGAGAAGCAAAGCGTGTCCGTGGTACATCGAGCCAGCCACGATATCGGACAATCTGTTTAGAAAACAATGGAAACGCACGCCGCGCTGCGAGTGGATGAATATTCAAGGATTAAGTAACGATTGGGTAAGCCAGAAATCCGGATTATTACCTACTCGCGATTCTTCCCTGTGGGCCCGCGATGGGATGCAAATTTAATTGATACACGAGACGACTAATAGAGTTCATTCTATCGCCGGAAGATCAAAGAGCGAGCGAGCGAGCGGTTGCGACAAATGTTCCAACATGAGCTTTTGATTCTTGATCTTTAGATGTTAGTGATAAATTACTTTGTATTCAATCATTTGCACAACGAATTATGGAATAGATGTGCGAAAATTACTATATAAAAAGAATATACGACTTTTAAGAAACGTAGATTTTTAATGATAAATTTTTGAAATCTCTCAAATAATATAAAAAGATTATAATTATAAACTTTATATATTTTCTTTATCAATATAATTAGAGAAAAAAATAAAATTATTATTGGTTTATCAATTTATTCACAAAGTCGGACTTATAGTTCTTGAATATTCTAATACTTATATACATTTTCTTCTGCTTATAATAGAATAATCAATCATGGAATACATTCAAATAGAATTTGTTATACATATTTAAAATGCACAATATTCATGGAACAAGTTTACAAGTTTTCATGGAATGAAAAAGACTAAATCAACTAAATTTTGAATATCAATAAAAAAAAATAGATATTCTCAATTTCTCAACATTTCTCAGAATACAGAAAATTATATAAAGAACCTGAAAATTTATGTATAATAATATATAGACAATCGAGTTATTCATTCCAAAAGTATCAGAACTGGATTCATCATCAGTCGTTTGAAAACCCAGAAGGTCGAGCAACTTTGATGGCCACTATCCAGAGAAAGAAAACGTCAAGGGCTGCAGAAAGGTTCGCTCGTGCTACATAACACGCACGATATACACACAAATTTGTTCGTAAGCGCGAACAAATGTGCACGATATGACGAGAGAGAGAGAGAGAGAGAGAGAGAGGCGCTAGGGGAGCAGGAAGAAAGAGAGAAAAAATATAGTCGTCCAAGGAATGAAATACCGAAAGAACAGGATCGAGACATGATCATGAGTGCTAAGAGCATTGTCCACCAGCCGCCTCGGTTCCCCCTGCAGACACCTGCGTGACGTCACGCGAAGAAACAGCTGGTCGCTCTTCTCTTACCTGGTTTGCAGTCCAACCACTTTTACATTTTGTTAGAGGGGAACCTCTCTCACTTGCCTTCCTCTCGCGATTCTCCTCTCCTCTTTTAATTTCCTTCCCCTCCCTTTCGTTTGTATTTTTCATTATATTTATCGTGTATCTTAAAATCACTTTCCAATATTTTTTTTAGTATCTAATCACTACTTTCTGCTGAATACTTCATTTAACGTGCGTTTACAGATTTGTGAATTTACGGTCCTTTCAATCGTAAATATAGGTATCTGTTAGGTATATATTCATCCGAAGCAAGCTTGAACATGAATAGAAAAGTTTGTTGTGAAAGCCTCAGGTTTTTTGAAAGAGGACTTCGAGGTAATTATAATAGCTTGTCCGAAACGGTTTTTTTCTTCTGTGATCTACCTCCAATATTTTTGAAGTTAGAAATCACATTTTAATAAGACATATATCTATTTCATGTACATGAAATCACGTATATGAATTACGTATGAAATATTTATATCATTTCGCGTATATGAATGTACAAATAAAAAATTTGAAATCATAAGTTTATATTTTATAAGATCTATTTAAGACTCTTTTCGTCATTTTCGCACGTAGCGTGCATGCAGCGTATTTTGCTTATTTCACCAAGTCATTCATTTTCCATATTTTTCGTAAAGTATTTCGATATTTTTTATTACTGTCAGTATTTAATTCGCTCGTTTATACATTCGTTGTCAATTAAAGGAATTTTTAAACGATATAGTGGCGAACAAACATGAAGCTTATCTTATCTTATCTTCTCCCCCCC